TTTTTTTTTTTTCAACTTTCTTCATCTCATTACCTCAACTCAACGTACATATATATACAGATTTTAGGGCCAACAAAGTTTGACAATTTTAGTTTCTAGATTTTATGGCCAACCAAGTTTTACAATTTTAGTTTCTCGACCAATCTTAACTAACACACATTTTCCTACACATTCACACTTATGTAATATTTTATTATTATTTGTAGATTTTTCTTAATCTCATAATATTAGCAATCAAGTTTATAATTCAACAAAATATAACATTTTATACCATAAAGATGAATTTTTATATCTCACAATAATTTGTGCAATATTTACATCACCAGTGATTGAAATGATTTATTTTTTGTCTCCAACATTTATATTTGGGTAGAATAATTAAAAAAATAAAAATCTATTGGTATAGCTTCCTTGTATAATTACAAGGGTAAGGTCTACGTACAACTGACCCCCGGAACCCAACCAGTTGAGAATATACTGGGTATGTTGATGTTGATGTTGATGATGGTATAGTTTATTGTAATGGTGGAGAGTTATATTATTATAATGATAAATATTACACTATTAAATAATTGTTATATTTCAACGAAAAATTCTATGGCAATATATTTCAATAGAAATTTCAACGGATATTCCAATGACATAGCTTCCGTTGAATGGTTCAAACGGAAATTCCAACGGAAATATTCCATTGAATGTGTTTTTCATTGGAATTTTAAATGGAAATTGATGATCTCAACGACTATATTTCCAACGTCTTTTTACTGTAGGAATTTCCGTTCAAATATGCAATTCCGTCGGAATTATTATTTCTACCCCCGTTGGAAAATCCACTGTTGGAACCGTCAAAATCCAACTGAAATTCCAATGGAAAACTCATTCCAAAGGAATATTTTTGTTAGAATTTCCATTGGAACCTATTGAAAATTTTCAACAGAAATAATAGTATTAAAATATCTGTTGGAATTGCAGTTGGAATAATTCTTTTGAAATATATTTTCGTTGGAATTTCATCATTTTCTTGTAGTGTTAACTCAAATAATCATGTAACAATAATAATATTCTTATCACGATTTTCGATATTTAAAAGTGAAAAATGAAGAGATAAGAAGCATAATACCAACAACTGTTATGAACCAATTGTGCAAAATAAATATTCCTCCTATCTTTTTATTTTGTCTAAATAAATGTGGGAGTTACGTTAGAATAAAAATCAATATTGGCCTTAAAAAAAAAAAATACACCGTATATTGATTATTTTTCAACAAATTTCCTACCATTTTTTTTTTTATCAAATAACTTGAATAAATTTGCTCACTTTATATTATATATTGATTAATTTATTTCCTATACAAATAACCATCAATACCAAAAATAAATTCTTCCATTTTACACTGTTAGAAATGCTCCCCTATCCACGGTGGGCATATTAACATGTGCTCACCGTGGGTAGGTGAACATTTCTCTTTACACTGTATATTGATTATAGTCCGGTCAGTTTCACATCCTTCCCTCGGTTGTCTAGTGGTGTTAGGTGGCTTGGGGCCGGGCTGGTTTGTCCTCGTCTTGTGGTGTTTGATGAGGGCGGGTTGGGCTAGTTGGAGTGTGGGGTTTGGTCGTGGCGTTCTCGGTTTGCGATGGATCGATTCGGGGATTGGTATTGGGCTTGGTTTTACCTACTGCTAGGCATTCTGCAGTTTCAGTAGTGACTGCTCAGGCTCGGTTCCTTTCTTGTGTCGTTCGTTCACTGTTGGCTGGCCTCGTTGTGTTTCACTAGGGGAGGGCTCCGTTTATGTGTTTTTGTTTAGTTTTTGTTCCCTCGTGTTTTCGTTTCTGTTGTTTGCTCTTGTTGTTGTGTGATTTGTGTTTGTTATCGTATTTTAGGTTTGGGCAGTTGGCCCCGATTGACCCGAGTACAAATTAATTATTCTGTTGGGATCGCACTCTGGTATTCTCCTGTTGGGAGCTTTTCTTGTTGTTTTTTATTGTGGGTTGTAGTTTGTCTTAGTGTTGTGGTGTGGTTGTTATTCTAGCTCTGCTAGTAGCATTTCGTCTAGGTTGCATTGGTGGAGTTGTAACCTCTCATTCCCGGTTTCCGGGCCTGTATTTGTTTTTTGCCTTTTGGCTTTCTTTAATGAAATTATTTATGTCGTTGGAAAAAAAAAATTAAGGTATCTCAAAATATGGCTTAATTATTTCCTTAAATAATTGCTGCAATTTCCATAAGTGATCATTTGATATCCTCCCTTTATATTATTCCTGAATGCGCTGAGCCTACATGGCAGCTTCTGGTGCTTCGGAATCTTACTTGTCAAAGAATTATGCTTCGTAAT